AATCTAACCCATCACACAATTAACGGACCGAACAGCGTTCATACTAACAACAGTGATTTTCATACCTTTTGGCATTTCCCCCACTCCTCTGTTTAAGATTCTACTCTCCTAGTATAATCTTCATAACTCCACCAAAAGTCTGGGTATGGAGTCACTGTCACAATATCACACTTTTCTAACAAGACAATACTTAAATAATCTTCTGCATTATACACATAGTTTAAAGGTCATCTCAAACTTTAAAAATTCTTCTTCTTCTTCTATATCTTAAGGGCCCACCATCAATTTATTGATCATTTTGGCTCCTATGCATGTAGATGGGATTTGCAATGTTTCTGTTACTGGTGTTGATGAGGAAATCATGCACTAGGGGTTTGAAGGCTTGAGGCAATAGACACAAGACACAAACGTGTCTAGTGTTGTCACCTCAACCTTTCCCTTTGAAAGATTGTTCCAGTCCCTGATTGTCTTGGGCAGGAATGAGCAGCTCCTATACTGGCTTCTTGCTGGTATGAGCCTGAATTGCCTGTCATGGCCTCGTCGCTGTCTTCATAATATTGTCTTTAAAAAATTACATTCCACCCGATATTTAGGTCCAAAATCACCCTATTACGCATGTATTATATTGTTCCAATTATTGATACTCGACGTCCTGGACAATCTTTAAAAAAATATCACATCTCATACCCCAAAACCGTGGCCATAAGCCCCATCAAAGTCAAAATGTACAAAATCGGATATGTACTTGCTCTCTCTAACATCAAAAACATAATCAGAGCAGCCCCCCGCTCTCGCGAACATCAATATTAGACATCAAATCAACAAAATCAAACCCCACACATTTATAGGCCTTAACTCATGTCTGATAAGCCAGTTGACAAAGATTACGTGGCTTGTCTGTCGAGCACTCCGACTCTCATTATCAAATAAATCTTGCTTAGCTAACGCGTTTCTCTCCAGCCCCAACCTCCCCTCCTCCGCATAATCAACGTCATCAACCATTTTAACTCTCTCAACGTTTACTGAGTCCCTGTCAGAGCAAACACCTCCAAGGTTGTCTAAACCTGTGAGCCACCCGTGTCACCCGCACCAACATGTTCTGAACTACGACCCTCGTAGCGCCACCTTCACGTCATCACCAACAACCTCCGCCTTGTTTACTCTAGGTCCCCGTTTTCTCATTGTCTTGATAGAAAGTCTGCTATCGTATTTTCTTCCTCTTTTACATACACACAATGTTAAAATTAAATTCTCGAAGAATCAACGCCCAATTTGTTATTCTAGAATTCGCAAATTTCGCTGTTCTCAGATATTTTAAAACATGGTGATCATATTGTAACATCAACCTCGCCCCCATTAGCTGATGTGCCAATTTTTGAATACCCCAATACTATTGCTAGGCATTCTCTCTCTGTGATTGAGTGTTGTGGACAGTCCGGACCTGGGTAGCTGACCTGGGCGGTCAAGGGGTGGGGGGAAATACCCCAGTACGAAGACTGACCAACTGTCATAGGTATCAGATTGAACCGGGACGAGGCTAGTAGGACCGTGACGGTGACAGTATTTATAAATCAAGGCATTGGAATGTAGAGGCAGGTGGCTAGTTAATGTCCATTTGGACGGAGGGAAGCGTTAGCTTAATTTTAGTACCACAGATGTAGAAACAGATTGTTGCGAAGATATGGAAATAAATAATCCTGGGAGGGAATTTTTTAGAGATGCCAGACCAAAATTGGGGACTTATGAAAGGAGACCGTTAGACGGGACTAGGATAGGACCATATCGGACAGGAAGGATGGCAGTAGGGAGGAGAGCTCAGCTGGATCTGATTAGAGGACAGAAAGAAGGACAGTCGGGAGGGAGAACTCAGCCGGACAGAAAAGAGACAGTGGAAGCAAGTTTTATCATCCAAACCAACGGGATAGTGAACAGAAGTAGAACATAGACCCGCTAGGGCTCTCTACAATATCGTGTCTTCCTATCTACTAATTTACGGCTGATGTATTTAACTGGGTGCAGGATATTAACAATTGTCTTGCAATCATAATAAATTTTATTATTGGCTGTCTTAGCTTTCGTATGTATTAGCCTGGGATTCTTTCAGACTGGTTGTTAGTCTCTTCCTAAGTTCGATAACATATTCACACATTCTTCTATTCTCTACACCAATCCTCTCATTTGTAAATAGACTTTTCAGTGCCCCTCTCACTTTACTCCCAAACATTATTTCACATGGGGACAGTAATGTCGTCTCATTAGGGACTTCTCTGTATGCGAAAAGTAGAGCCGGTAAAAATTTCACCCCAGCTTACGGGCTCATCATTAGCGATCTTTGCAACATTCGTTTCAGTGTCCCATTAAATCGTTCCACCATCCCATTAAATCGTTCCACCATCCCGTTCGACTGTGGACGGCAGATTGATTAACCACTGGTCCTGATGTTAAGGAGTTCGCACACTCGTTCGTATAATTCTGAAGAAAACTGTAGACCATTATCTGATAAAATCATTTCAAGGAAAACCATTCTTGTAGAGATGCTCTTCGTATATTTTGTGTTGTGACAAATTTTATGGGGACGGTCTCGGGGTAACGTGTTACCTCATCAATTGTCAGAATGCATTTATTCATGTTTATTGCTTAGTTGAAGGGGCTCTGCAATGCCTTTTGCAACATTTTGGCAATTTATTAGTTCATTTTCGGCAAGAAAAACTGGGCGCAAATCCGGTATTATTGGACACGTGTCCCGCCAGAGCGGACTTATGCGCTGTTACTAAAACCATCCGGTGACATTTAAGGAACTAGTCATTTCCTATCGTCGTTATTACTGCCCTTATACGTAAATATCCTATATTTGATACCGTTTTTATCTGAAAAGTGATTAGTCCCTTCTTTGTGCGCTAAACACGATTAACTTTCTGCCAATATTTACTTAAGCCATGGTCCTTCACCTGTTCCTCTGACAAGTCTATATTTTGTCACTTGTCCAACACTGTCCAAACGTTACTTTGCATTGGCTTATCACCTGCCGTCTCTCTTTTTGCTTTGTAACCCTAATAATTACATTACCACTTTGTTGTCATGTTCTATTTTGTTCTCCTCCCACATTCCCTAAATTACACGCTGTCAACAACAAAACGCAATCATCTGTTTCATATTGTTATTTTTAAGGAAATAAACCTAAAGAATGTAGGAATGCAGTGATAGCCAAGTATCAAAGTAACTGTTTTATCATCTACACAGGGGAGGAAAAAAAGCCACACTTAATTTGTATGGCTCAAACTGCCCTTTAAAAGCTGACACTCGTGGATCCAACATCTCTCTCATGTCTTGTGTCATTTTAAATCCTTAATGTCAGGCCTGCACAAAATACGGCCCGTGGGCCGCATGTGGCCACCATCACGCACTTTGCGGCCCGTGAACTAACGAAAAATTCTTTATTATCATTTTCTTAATAGCTTTCCCCCTTTTACTATTTTCATTGGCCCGCGCAAGTTATTCATAAAGTATTACGGCCCGCCTTAAATGTTGAGTTGTGCAGGCTTGCTTTATATTAACTTGGCTATAGACTCGTTGCCCATGACACATTCTATCAAATTTCAGCGCCACCCCCAACCCCCAAAATCAGTTTTAACTCTGCCAGATGCCACCGATTTCACAAAATAAAATTCCCGATAACTGCGCTAAATGAGATTCTTAGAAATATCGCAAGTGCGTAATATTTTCTTTGTTTTAAGGAAATAGTTGGTGTAATTAATATGGGGTGTAAAAGCGGGTGAGGGTTACCGGAAATTTAATCGAAAGAAATTTCGTCGACGGTAAATTGATTGACGGAAATTTGGTAGAACAGAAATTTGGTCGAATCTTTTTTTCAGTTCACATGAAAATTTTCGTCGAATTCCTTTTTTTTCCTTTTTGAAAGCACTACACTATATAGTGAAACGAAATAATGTGTTCAAAAAAGAAATTTGAAGCAAAATTTAACGTAAAAAAAATGAAGACAAATTTTTTTGTATCAAATTTCCGTTCGATCAAATTACCGTCAATCAACTTACCGTCGACGAAATTTATTTCGATCAAATTTCCGGATTCGTATAGGTTATTTAAGTTTATCGAGATGAACTGCACTGTGTCCGGTATACAAATTTCAGTCGGATTCAACTATCCTAAAACAAAGGGCAGCAACACTCCTAAGAGAACTATGGAAAACACGGCGGGTAGAAGTTCTTGACTTGCATTGGATATATTTTTTTTTATTTGATGTTTTGTGGGGCTGTTTCAGAAATATTATTTTGGAGTTTTATATGAAGTCTCTTTCCTCATCCTTATATTGATATAGTCGAATATCCCGTGACACCACATTAGATTTTAAAACCAATATTTCAATAATTCATTCAATAGTGAGGTTATTAAATTATTTAAATATAAGATGTACATGATATATCCAAATGACACATTGGTTGCAGGGGCGGGTCTATATGAAATATGCAGTATTGATAACAAGAGAGGGGGGGCTCAGTGCCTTAGTGGTGGTGGTGGTGGTTTGGGGGGGGGGGGCGTCAACGAAATATAGCTACGGGATTTGGGACAAAAAACAGCTTCAATAGGATCAATAAAAGCATATTATCTTATCTTACGTTAATTCATTTTATCTTACGCTATCTCGTCTTATCTTACCTTATCTCATCTTATCTTATGAGTGTCCACCTGATCTCTACAGTTAAAATGTGGTCATGACAACAATTTACGAACAATGGCGATTTACTTCAATTATAGGTGGAACGATCTGGCCGAATAGAGACGGGGCGATATTTGCGGAATAGAGTTGCAACGATACGGGCCGAATACGTCTAGAACGATACTGGCTCAGAAATACTTGAGGATTATAGATAATTTCATGATTGGCAAGCTGCATGGGTTGTTAAAATGCTTATTTTAAAGAGCATTTAGAATTTATGTCTATCATAAAATAATAAATAAATAAATGAAAACCACGATCCAATATGAAAATGAACGTGGAAAAAAGTTTATTGAACATGCAAACTTAAAGTCAGTCAGACGCCATAAAAATATGAAGCTTTCATTTTTTTAAAAATAAACTTGAAACAGGGGATTAAATTGTAACTTCTGTAGCGAAGCGTTCAACCGTGACTTGTAGGTGGACAGGGGTCAGGGATCTTGAACGGGTCAGGTGATGTGATGGTCACACTTTGGTTAAAATAGAAGTTGCTGAATATAGCTACTCCATCTGGAGAGAAAGATTGTCAAGGAATAAAAGTGGATTTTTATTTTGAGTAAACAACTAAACGTACAATGTACATTTGTGTACCATTTATAACATCGAGAGAGAGAAAGAGAGAGAGAGAGAGAAAGAGAGAGAGAGAGAGAAAGAGAGAGAGAGAAAGAGAGAGAGAGAGAGAAAGAGAGAGAGAGAGAGAAAGAGAGAAGGGGGGAGACAGAGAGCGCTGTAAATCCAAAGGAATTTATAATATAATTTGTATGTCAACTGTTTTAAAACGTGTTAGAGACATGTATTTTTTTTATGTCGAATTTTTCATGACATATTTATTTGGAAACATTCGGAATTCATAATAATAATTAAGACCAAAAAAAAAAATGCATAAAATTATGAAACTAACCCCTAATAAACGAATCCAAGATTGCTTCACTGGGTTGCCCAGGCTGGTTGCCAAGGAACATTTTGACAGTTCCACCATCAGACGCAGGCGTCTCCCAGATCTCTACAGGGAGACGGTTAGGTCCGAAACCAACGAAAGTTTCTCCGATGTAAACAGAATTGTCTGAAAAGTATAACCAATAGTATTCATGGGTTTGTTTAGTATTTTTTATGAAAAGGAATTAAATGAAACATTTTCTAGAAAACTACATTGAAGTAAAAAAAAAATGTCGGTGACCCATAGATGTTTGCTGGTAGTATTGGCATTATTTGGTGGTATATAGATGTTTGCTGGTAGTATAGGCGTATGTTGGTGCACATGGTTATAGATGTTTGTTGGTAGTATTAGCGTATGTTGGTGACACATAGATGTTTGCTTGTAGTTTTTTTGTATGTTGGTGGTACTTGTTTGCTGGTAGTTTTGGCGTATATCTCTTTATCCTGTACACGTTAATCTTCTTCTTAAATATATATCAAGAGGCTAGAGCAGGCCTGCACAACATACGGGCCGCATGCGGCCGGCCAGTACTCACGTTGTGGCCCGCGAAAACTTTGGGGGCGGGATTTGGAACCACTTATATAATAATATGTGCACAGACATTTTCAATAATGAAGATTAATTAATGCAAGCAACGCTCATTTTTTAGTGACGATCATTTGGAAGACATCCTGAGAACAGCCACTTCCAATATAACTCCCGAATACGACAAACTTGTTACCGAAAAACGATGCAATGTGTCACATTAAATTTATTTCGTAATTAATAAAATATTCATTATTATTATTTTCTCAATAGCTTTCCACCTTGTCCTTATTTTCTTTCTGATTTCTGCCCACACAAGTTTTTCATAAAATATCATGGCCCGCCTTACATTTTGAGTTGTGCAGGCCTGGGCTCGAGGATTGTAGTCTAGCATCTGTTCGCTATAAACTCCCATTCTCTTTAAAAATCATATCTCAATTACTTTATGAAAGAACCCAGTTGAAGCACGCTACTATTTTTAGATGCTGTCTCCGCTCCGCAGACGCGCAGCTAAGTATGGGGGAGGGCAGGGGGGACAGATGTCCCTGGGCGTCAAGACTAGTTTGGGGCGCCAAAATGTGCTTTGATATTATTTTATTGACGAAAATAAAGGGTTTTAGAATTGAAAATAGAAAGTGGGGGCTCTTTAAAATGAATCTTGTCCCCGGGCGCCAAACACTCTAACTACGCCTCTGCCCCCGCCATAAGTGCGCTGTCATGGTTGCAACCTCGCGCAGGTAATTTTTTTTTTGTTTTTGTGCCTTTGAAAAATTAATATTTCAAACTATTTTGACCTAAGTATGACGAGTCGCACATTCTTCTAGTTCATTTAATTTAGTTATTTGATTTCTCAGTTTGTATCTTCTAATTTTAGCGATATTTTAATTCTAATGGTTATGATAATTTCCCCTTTTGGAACAAATGGAATTAACACCTTACATATGCATATATATATATATATATATATATATATATATATATATATATATATATATATATATATATATTTAAAATAACAATAAAATTTCTACTATTATACACTATATATATATATTCTAATTTTAGCGATATTTTAATTCTATTGGTTATGATAATTTCCCCTTTTGGAACAAATGGAATTAACACCTTACATATGCATATATATATATATATATATATATATATATATATATATATATATATATATATATATATATATTTTAAAAGCCCATCAGAGGTCTACCATCGTCCACTGTAGATTTCTATGGCGTTAACACCCCCACCCACAGGGAGTGAGAGAAAAGCCAGTAAGTATTTGAAAAGTTATTATCGCTTACCTGGCAAACACTGGGGGGAAAATGCCGATGGAGGGAGAGAATCTGATCGACAATTGCCATTGGAGTCAAAGATGTAATGTTTCAGCTGAAATATGTCAGAAGTTATAAACATGTAATGTATCAATTGAAATATATCAGAAATCAGCCAACGTAATCACATGAATTAAAATGAAACGTCCAATAAGTCTTCCCTTTCCGAAACAGATTAAACTATTCTATAATGGATTTGATGCGACACAGAATGTGGGATCGATGAATTGCTTAAACTAAGTCAAACTGTTCACTAGAATTCATGTTAGATACACACGTATAGCGAATTCCTTCTTGGGAAATAACATGTTTAAAAAATATTCATCTTGACCCCTTGAAACAATGTCATTAGATTTTGTTGACCCCTTGAAACAATGTCATTTAAGTTTTGTTGACCCCTTGAAACAATGTCATTAGGTTTTGTTGACCCCTTGAAACAATGTCATTAGGTTTTGTTGACCCCTTGAAACAATGTCATTAGGTTTTGTTGACCCCTTGAAACAATGTCATTAGGTTTTGTTGACCCCTTGAAACAATGTCATTAGGTTTTGTTGACCCCTTGAAACAATGTCATTAGGTTTTGCTAATTGTGACGTGCTTAACGTACGAGGGAAGCAATTGAGTAACAGATCAAGCCACATTCCTTACCTTGTCCATATCTTCTATACGTGACCCAGTGGGTGAAGTGGTTAGCCTCATTTTTTGTTTAAAATCATTAATTATTTCCATTGTTACCTGGAAGCACATGCCAAAACAAAGATGATTCCATATAAGATATGAGCTGTGTCAGTAGTATAAAATTAATCACAGTTAAATACCGTTATTTCTTTGAAACAAATAATTCAACTAATTATATTTATTCCTGTCCTAAATTGAACTTTTTTTCTTCAAATTAGTACATTACTCTATGCGTGAAAATACGGCAAAATGCTGTTAATATATAAATATGGACAAAGATCATTAAATTGTACACATACACTTGTTTGTATGTTGAATGATGACATCTGAGTCTGATCGGGCGAGCAGACTTTGGTAGGATCTGGGGCTCCCAGAGCCATTGAGAGCAATGCGACGACAAAGATGTAATGAAGCATGACTGCTGAAGCTGGTGTATTGTTGTGTCATGCGTTTGCGGTTCGCTCTGTTCAACTCCCAGCAAGACATTGAATCTGATGGCATGATAAGGCTTATCTTAGGACGACCCTTACATCTGATTGCATGATAAGGCTTATCTTAGGACGGCCCTGAGAGCTTATTTTTAAACTTCAAGGATGATGTGTTTTGCCATGTCGGCACCACGACAGGTCAAACGTACTCCTGGGCTGGAATATTTACTTCCATCATTAAAAAACCAACTAAAATCAAGACACTTTCAGGGAGATGGTTCCCGTGAACCTTGGATGGTGGCACATCTGTGTAAAATGAAAAAACGAACTATTGCCCTCCGGTCATGGTCACGGGAGCGAACTCTGAAAGAAAATTTCGGAAAATGTCGTCGGGTTATGCCCCATGGCATTGCACTCATAAAAATTCCGGCAACTCCTTCGACGCCGTTGGTGCCAATCTGTATTTAGCATCTGATGCAAACTGCATGGAAACATTGTGATCAGCAATACACCATCCTGTCTGCCATCAAAGCAATATTCAGTTCGCCCAACAGCAATAGCTCGATCGTTTGAACTAGGACTGTAGACTTGACTAAACAAAATTGCTGTTTATATTATTTTTTTTAATGATTTAAAAAAAAAAAACTATTTTTTATTTTGTGAATTGAAAAGAAAAAAAAATCAGTCATGTTCCAGTCTTTTTTAAAAGGATCTCCTGAAAGAGAGAAATAAAGTAACATAGTGCAGGAAAATAGAAATTGACGGTTATTTTAAAACTAAGTGCATGTTTTAAAATGTTTTCATCGGCTGACCGCACTGAGACTCAGGTCGATTGCAATTACTTTTAGATGTCATATTTTATGAAATCAGTAACGTTTTAGGTTTTTTAGAAAGACGTATTTTAGTTGAAAATGAATTGAACAAAAAAAGTAATAAGTTCCACCCTAATAGTGTGGATAATGTTAAATAGTCCGTCTCAGTTTCCAAATGAGGCAGACTTATTTAGAAAATACAATTCAAGTCTAATCAACGTGTTTAATATGTGGTGAACCATCTTGACGCAAAACATCTGGTTGTTGATTTATCTGCCAATTGGACATTCGCATCGCCCTGACCCAAGATTGCAGGAAGTTCATGAATTAATGTATAAATACTGTGACCAAAAAAAAATGGATTTAGGACAAAAATATTTTGGAAACATGTAAAATATAAGAAAATAAATAAAGGAAAATGTGAGGATCGCTAGTAGGATAGTATTTGATTGACTCCATATGGTGATAGTGTGCCGAAAAGCTGAATTTATTTCAGGATTTCTGAAACACACTAGCGAGAGTTAGAAGGGTAAACATGTTAAATTCTTATTTTTTCACAGTATTGATACAGAAAATATTTTACTTCCCGGAATCTTTCTTTTTGGTAAACCCAACTTCCGGCAATATCATTAATGGCGAACACTTACGTTTTTGAATCATTTTCTATTTCTTATTGTTTCTTCATTTGTCATGTCTGCTGAGGAAGGCTCTTAGCCGAATCGTTCTTTTTTTTTTTTTTTTTTTTTTTTTTTTTCTTTTTTTTTTTTTTTTTTTTTTTTTTTTTTTTTTTTTTTTTTTTTTTCCCTTTTTTTTTTTTTTTTTTTTTTTTTTTTTTTTTTTGTCCTCTCTTTATATCTCAAGCTTCCACATACCTTATTCTACTATTTCCTTGAAATAGCTTGAAAGCGGTCCTTCATTTATTGTCCTTTTTATAGAGAACTACTTTATTTGATAGCTCTTTAACCAAGGGAGGATGGGAACATAAATTCATTTTAGGCGTTCATGGAAAAAAAAAGGAGGGGGGGTGTTTGAAAAACGCGGTTTGTAGGAACAATGATATCAAAAAAATTGTATGATTTTTAGATTTTACAAAATTTGCTTTCAACTCATCGCATGGCTAACTATAATGCAAAAACTGTCGCCCCCCCCCCCCCCCCCCCCCCCCCCCCCCCCCAACCACCCCGACTAAATTTCACATTTGGAGCAAGTAATCATTTAAAAATTAAGGAGTAATATTTGCACGCTTATTCTACTACCAGTCAGGAGGGCGCGAACAAGGTAAACAAGAACATAAACATTGAGAAGAAGTTCTGACACTGTCTGCGTGAGTGTGGCACATTGATAGGTCATAATGTTATAAAAGGGAGGCTAGTTGTTTGGATCGAATTCATGCTATCCGGGCTCGACTACTTGACAGACCGGATGTGGCCCGCAGTCCGTGAGATCCAAGCACGTGACTGAAGGGGTCAGGTTTGTTGTAAAATAAACAGTCTAAATATTTCCATTTCGTCAGTACTGACCCACTTACCACGGTGTTTGTAAGTGGGTCTCGCAATGGTGTCCAAATAAAATAAATTATTTCACAAAATAAATCTATTTGTTCTAAATGAAGTTAGGTCCAATCCCAACCCGCCAACTGTTTTCACTGACTAAAAAAAAAAATAGGATAAAACAGATGCTTAACAAATCTCAAGTTTATTATTTTTTGATCAAATGCTAACGAGCAAAAAGTAGTATTTTGGATAAAAAATGTATAACAATTACATCGACAAATATTGACAATCATATTTAATAAGTTAAAACTAAGTCATTCACTTATTGGTATTTATTCTGTATTTATTTCTCTAAGAATATTAGTATTTAAAGATAAATAAAAGTATAAAAATCATGTTAAATAAACGGCCTAATCCAACATCCAATCACTAGACAGCTGTGGGTGGGGGGCAGGGGTCAGGGATGGTGAGCAGGTTGGTCTGTGTGATGGTTTCTATCGGGTTGACGTAAATAGTGGACTCGGCGTGACCTTGAGCTGAAATAAAGAGATAACACACAACCAGTCATGAGGTGCCTCAATTCTCAATGTTGCACTGCGGGGTCAAAGGTTAAACTATTGTAACTACCAATATTGATGTGTTCAAATCAAAATATTAAATGCTTATTGAAAAATATATATATATTGAAATTTGAAATTCAAGTAAATTCGAGTTTTGTTGCTGCAATTGCATTATCGTTACATGTTGAATTTGCGTTTTCCCTTGCTCATTTACGCCTTCGTTTAGTTAGTTTAGTGACTTAATTCCACATTTTGCTGTGTGGCGGGGTTCGAGTCCATTCTAATAGTTTAAAAATGGTTGATGTGGGGTAGTGGGGGGGGGGGTGGAGTTAAACTCTATATACACGTATTTACCTATTATTTTAACAAAAAATAAAGTGGAATTCAATCTAATGGTTTAAATCAAAATGGCGCCAATGCTTTTTGATTGTAAGAAGCAGTGATATAACGTTTGAAATTGATGTTGTAAAGATAAAATTGGCTTCAAGTATTTCGTGAACCAAAGACTATTGAACAATAAGAAGGGCGCATTTCTCAAGTATCTATCCTGATATTCATTTCCAGTAATGACTTGCTTACCGTCCACAAACTTGGACATCATGATGTATCTGGGTTGGCCTGGTTGGTTGGTTATCAGCAGCCTCATGGTGCCGCCCAAGAACGGGATCTGCCAGCCCTCCTCGGTCAATGCGTTGGGGCCGAAGCCCCAGCTCGCCTCGCCTACGAGCACGGCGTTGGCTGTGGACACGGGTACAGGCACACAATTTGATCAGATTATAAAACTATATCTATTGTAATCAATGTGTTTAAACTCTTATCAAAGTTAACATTTCGATTACATTCCAAAATAGCACCGAAAGAAAAATGCCCATGCATAATATACTATTACACTGATTTTATTTCAAAAAACTATTTATTATTTTAGTGCCATTTTGGGCACTGCACATGGTACATTTACTGTAAATACAAGCTTAGAATCAAACATTATAATAAAAGCATGAGATGTTATGTTTATTATATTATAAACGTATGACTCGTCGAATGTTCTCAAGTTGAAAAAAAAAAAACTTTTTTATTCCAAATGAAAATAAATAATGAATTGCGATTGCATTTAAACACGACTGTTCAACAAAAAACGGTCGAAAACTGACACAGAGCGTTTCTTTACCTGGGAGACACTGGGTCAGCACGCCGTCAGCAGGCAGATCGAATGATTGACAGTTTCCTTTCCCGTCAAGCATGTACCTTTTTTTCTATTAAAAAAAAAAGCAAATGAAGGAATTAGGGGCACAACACAACTAAGGGACATGTTACGTGGAATGCAATGAAGGAACGTTTGAAATAAATGTTTCAAAGATAATATTCGCCTCAAGTCATTCGTGACACAATGGATTATAAGGGAAGAGCAAAGTCCAAGAAATCCTCTAACCACAGATATATGTAGTTATGTTTGAGGATATGGCTAGAGGTCATGTCTCAAGATTATGTAAAGAATACACGTCTAGATGATAGATCTGCGTATTATGTCTGGATGGTATGTCTACTTACAGCAGCTAGATCCTCAATAATGGTCAAGTTAGGACTGGCCATTGACAGTATGTTCTTTGTGTAGTCTATTACACCTACACCACCCACCTAAGGAAGTTTGAGGAGTAGAAAAAATGGGTGGTGGGGTCAGTATACATAAAAATTATATTCATATTTTAAATTCTTGTTTTAAAGGATACACCAAAAAACCCCACCTTATTTTGGTTCAAATAGTTATGATGCAAAACAAATTTCAAGTAATGGGTGGCACCCGATAGTTGTTATCATACAAAATATTTTTTTTCTTCTTTCTTGAACATGCGGCTTAAAATTAAAAATTTTCCAATATTTGTTTGGCAGCTTGGGGTAATTTTTTTTTAATGTATTAAAATTCATAACTTTTGCTTCCAAAACGAGTTTTGTTTTCAAATGATTTTCAGACTTTCACGATAATTATCAGCTATATTTCATCGTATACGGTTTTAATAAAAAGTGTTTAAATTAAATCAGAACTGAAATGTCGAAACATCGTAACGTATCTTATTATAACCATTAAAATAATTGTAAACTTTTAATAAATCCGTAGGCTATTTGCAAAAAATAACAAAAAACATACACTGTATTTGGTGCTATATAAGAATCATAAATCTGTAGGCTATTTCTAAAAACCCATAAACTATTAGTTGCTATATAAGGATCATAAATATGTAGGCTATTTCTAAAAAACCCATACACTGTATTAGGTGCTGTGGAAGGATTATGTTTCAACCTTGACACAACTAAAAGTACTCACGTCCGTGTTCAGGTTAAACGTAGCAAACTGAAGCCTGTCTGGCAGACACACTGTGGTCGGGTCCGTTGTACAGGAGACAACAAAGGGCAGCAACACGGTAATTGCCAGGATAGATAACATTGTAGCAGGTCTTGGTTGTTTTCGTGCAGGGTTGAGGGCCTTGGTTGTGTACGAGTAGATGTGGCTTGCTTGGTTTATGAATTACTTCGTCAAAGAATCGTCCTTTTTATACTGTAAGTCACACTCTCCAACCCCACCCCCTCCCCCTTTTCTCAGTTGTGTGACGATTCTTTCAATTGATATATGATGAAATGATTATATCCGTCTATAAAACTGAGGGGGCCAAATTCCACGGTGCACAAACATGGTCGTACTTCGGTCCGCTTCTGTAGAGTTTAGTGTTGATAGTATTGGAAGCGTTGTGACCAACATTGAATGGGATTATTTCGTGAATCAAAATTTTAATATGATCATCACGAAAAAAAAAATAAAGTAATAGATTCAAGATAAATTTAAAAATACCTTAGTTTATATCAACTTGAATTACCTTCATGTAAGATAACGTGAAAATTACATCAGTTATGTGTAATCCGTTTTTTTTTTTAATTACCTGTATAAAATAAAATTGTTTTTTTTTTAATGTTTCCATTTTAATCAAGTTTATTTATTTAATTTTTTTATTTTTTTTTTTTTTTTTTTTTTTTTTTTTTTATTTTTTTTTTTTTTTTTTTGTCCCCCCCCCCCCCCCCCCCATTTTTTTTTACCAAACACAAAACAACACCACAATCATGCAAAATCAAATATTTGTGACAATATTTTTGTCTATATTTTCCTTGCTTTTATTTTATTTTTTTTTTCAATACAAACATCGAAATGTGCTAAGGAAAAAAAAATAATTATCTTTAAAAATCGAACATAAAGAAATACGATTACTTTTGATTTTTATTTCTTGTTAATGAAAAGCTTTCAGCTATAGTAATAATAACTACTATGATCAATCAAAGCCGCTAAAAATCTTTATTCCCTCCTAACGTAAAAAGTGCTGAGTCACGGCTGCGTGCCACACGCTAGTAGTGAAACTTGCTGACAAAACGTAGCGTGCCGTTGTACAGGGGCTGGGTATGTGCAGTCATCGATAGTACCGTCAACATTCAAGGGGATTTATGGTTGTATTGGAGGGACCAATGCAAATATGTGACTATGTTATGTTTTAACGGCCGATTCAATCATTAACGTGTCCTTAAGTCAATTTAATCGGGTCTTGCAAAGCAGTGTTTACCAACTGTTTCCAAGATAGTATAAAAAATATGTAAATTTGCATATGAAATGGGGGCGGGGGGGGGGGCATGTGTGGTTGTTTATGTGGACATGTTAGTATATGTTTGTGTGGTTGTGTCAGTGGATATGTATGAGTCTCGACTATTTAATGTAATAAGTAGGACCCCAAATTGTTAAAATAACGAGTTGGCGATAATATATATATTTTTTTTAAGGCGAGGTCGTGATCCATTGTTACGTGGACACCGATTATAGTGGTCTGTTCTCAATATGCGCCTAGCTGTTAGCTTAAGCCCCGGACTCATATGCTAGCATCCATTATTCTGATCCACCTGATGTCTGATTATAATTATATTGAGCAATAGTGTTACCGGAGAAAGGAGTCATGCAAAGACATTGAGTTGAAAACCAAGAACAGTTCATTAGCTCGCAGGTTTCTAAATTGAATCATCGAGTCCCTTTGACTGACCCCGTTTGTTTGAGAAGCATTTTCTGAACATAGTTTTTTTTGTCTGACCTTCACTTTCGACTTTTTGTCTGACCTTCACTTTCAACCTGGGGTCATTTGATCAACCTTTTCTAACACTGTTCGCCCGACAGGAAACAAAACAAAGCAAACGGATTTGGGGGAAATGATTCTAAACAATGTCATCAAATTATGATGAGATTTGAGTAAATAATAAGAAAATAAATTAATAAATATGTGCTATATTTAGTAAATGAAAAACATGTTTGTCCCCCTCCCCCTAATCTGCCCTTTGTGTAACCTTTGGTGTCTGACCCCTTTGACGAATCCTTTGCATCTGATCCTTAAGTCTCCCCATTTGTGTCTGAACAATGTGTCTCCGAATTCTCGTCTTACTTCTTTCTGATCCTTTGCGCCCTACCCCTTTCTCTGATGCTATGCGTCCGACCCCTTTCGTCTGATCCTTTGCGTCCGACCCCTTTGTCTGATCCTTTGCGGCTGACCCCTTTGACGAACCTTTTGCGTCTGACCCCCTTCGTCGAATCCTGGTCATCCATCCCCTTTGAGTACTTCTTTGTATCTGACCCCTTTGACCTACACTGCGCAACTGAACACTTTGGCTAACCCTTTGACTCTGACCCCATCTGTCACGTCTTTTCCTCTTACACTCTTCCTCTAATCTACTTTCTCTAATAATTTTAGATAAATGTATAAAATGGAATATCTGGTTTAAGTACTATGGATCATAGTATTATTTGAAACATTCTGTGTTTCTTTCACGATTAATTTGCGCATCGTCAGAAAAGCTTGTGTATTCTTAATCTTTTATATCAACTTCGCTTTTGCTCGTGTGTTGTTGTTTTTTTTTGGTTAGGTGTGTGGCAAAATTTTTGAAAGGCTAATTGACCCACTTCCCGTCAACCTATTCAGTTGAAACGTGGTACATGGACTCGTTGCCGATGACAACACGTTCTTTTAAATGTTCAGCCGCACACCACAACCTCCAAAAAATCTGTTTTTCAAAGGGGAGTTAAAGGAAACATGATGCCACTGCAGACCTGTTGACCTGTTACGATTTTGGCGTACAATGTACGAGTTTGAGCTGTATACAATATATATACTGTATATTTAAAATTTTTACTATTAAGATAATGTATTGAACGATTCTGTGATGATATTGTACGATTTTAAGAGTTTGAGGGTAAACAGGTCTGCCGCTGATTTCACGCTATAAAATCCCGATAACTGCGCTAGATGAGATTACGTTTTAAAAGAAATATCGCAAGTGCGTTTAGTGCGTAATATTTTCTTTCTTTTTTTTTTTCTGATATAGCTGTTGAAATAGATTTACGGTGTAAAAGCGGCCAGGGGATTAGAAAATTAGTATTACATTTTTAAATTTGTAAAAAATGCTTATAAAGGATTCATACGCAAAACTTTTTTGTAGGGTTTGTTTAATTTATCCAATCCTTTATATTAATTTCACTTTGTTCGCGTCTTTCTGTGGTAAAGGTAAAATCTTCGAACGGCTAAATGACCCACTAACTGTCATCCTATCAAGCTGAAACTTGGCACATACTCTCATTGCCGATGACAACGTGGTCCATCAAACTTTCATCCCCACCCACCCCCCCCAGCAACTAAAAGTCAGTTTTAACGCTACCGACACCGCCACGAATTTCATAAAATACAATTCCCGATAGTTGCGCTAAATGAGATTCTTAATGGAAAGAGATGTTGATCACTTTGTTCGCGTCTTTCTGTGGTAAAGGTAAAATCTTCGAACGGCTAAATGACCCCCTAACTGTCATCCTATCAAGCTGAAACTTGGCACATACTCTCATTGCCGATGACAACGTGGTCCATCAAACTTTCATCCCCCCCCCCCCCCCCAGCAACTAAAAGTCAGTTTTAACGCTACCGACACCGCCACGAATTTCATAAAATACAATTCCCGATAGTTGCGCTAAATGAGATTCTTAATGGAAAGAGATGTTGTAATAAATCTACGGCGTAAAATCGGGTAGGGCATTAGAATACTAACATAGTTTAGGGGCGTGGAAAAATGGGTGCTTGCGAGCCGGATGGAAAAAAAAAGGGGGGGGAGTGAGCACTAGGATTCTTGTGAAGATTTGTTTTGTCAAAGGTTCAGCTCCACCACCATCCCCATTGCTCGATATTATATTTCATAAAGGATTTATTCGAAAACGTAGGGGTTGTTAAATTAAATATATATATATTTTTTCTAGTAAGTTAGACTAACTAAAGAACGAGAAATGCCGTAAGTGAAAAAACAAAACAATATTTTACGACAATACTCTCTAGCCGGTGTTATGGAACATGCGTTTTATTCGACCTGGGGGCAGAGCTTCAAAAGTTTAAGAACTCCAAACAAGTCCCGTCTGAAGGCATGGGCACACCAGGCAGTTGTCCAGTGCCTCCGGCTTCTAGGTGAATCATGCTTCTAGGGGCATCACATTTTTTGGCGTATCATGTTGTCCATTTTGTTAATAAATTTTCCAAATTAATTTGGTTGTAAAAGTACAGTTGGAAAGAATGTTCCCAAAGTTTTTCGATTGTGAAAACTATTTTTAGTACTAGTTCGTTAGTGTAGATAAAAAAAAAACAGTTTTTGTTTTTTTTTAAAGAGTCAGATGTTAATTAATTTGTAATGTATAGTTCTAGAGAAATAGTGGGTCTGAGTGCATGACTTTGCCAAGAGCCCCACTTGCCACCCCCCTTTCTGTTAAGACTGTCCTGCCCCTGACCATCAACCATGATTGAAATAGAGGCCGGTGAGCACTTTAACAAAAACGTACAACATAATTAAATGATAAAAAGAAAAAGAAACGAAAAGAAGAAGTCTTTTATTGAAAAGATATTTTATTTTGTGAATTTAAACCATTTCATCAAACTATAATGAGATTCGTTTCAATAAAGCAAGGAAAATAAAATGCTGGATTGATTTCAGATTTTAAAAAATATAAGAAACAATTTTTTAAAAAAATGTTTGCATTTACTTTAAACATTTTATTTTTATAGAGTAATAATTTAAACAGAAAACAAAAGATGAAAATACAGTAAGGCGGTGCTAAAGAACAGCGGTACAGTTTGTTGGGATGTCCAGTATTCCTGGCTGAGTGATGTTCAATGTCGGGTTGATGTAGAAAGAAGAGCTCGCCTCGCCTTTGCCTGGGAGCGGGGGGGGGGGGGGGGGGTGGAAGAATAAAAAAAAGTTTATTTTTGGTGGAGAATACAACAAAGATTAGTTTTTTAATTATGTTGTCATCTTGGCTGTAAGTTTTATCAAAGTTTTGTTTAAAGAAAAGAAGGTTTCTGTCCTGTCTGTATGGTTTTCCAGCTCTGACGCACGGTCGATTAATTCCTTTATTAAAATCAAATTATCAACATCAACCAAGCTTCAATCTCTTGGTTAAGTTCGAACTCAACTAGTTATAACTATTCCACAATTAACCGAAATCTTGTATAACTGCAGCTAATTCATTTTTCATCTGGAATATCATCTTTTATAAAATTTATAGCATATATTTCTTTGGATTGTCGTTTAGGTTTACAAATCTCATCTTATAATTCTTGTCTGCCAGATTTTTCCATCTGATCAATACCTCAACTATAAGATCTTTAGAACCTATTCTTGGCTAACCTATAACTGTATTCAAATTTGCCAAACAATTTGATAAATATAGATATTTTTGTGTTTAAAGTTTGAGAAACTTTTCTGTGTAACGATCGCATTCGAATGTTCGTTGCAACCCCGGAGCCCAGTTAAACGTTACTGTTAGAACACAGACTAATGTTACTGAGTTTTCAGATGTCTGCCTTGAGATCAGTATCATTGTTACAGCACTTACAGTCCTCAAATCTGGACAGCATTATGTATCGGGGCTGGTCTGGTTGTTTGGTGATGAGGAGCTTCAGTGTGCCGCCATTGAAGGGCAGCTGCCAGCCGTCCTCCGTCAGGGCATTGGGGCCAAACCCCCAGCTGGCCTCAGCCACGTACACAGCACGTGCTGGGGAATGGGTGGAGAGAAAGTTTATATTTACACAGTACATAATGGGGTTTGTGTGGAGAGAACGTTCACATTTAACAAAGCCATTGAATTTTTTTTTATTTAAATATGCCGTTGAAACAAAAAGTGCGTTAAATATGTGTTTGAAAAAATTGGGATATGGGTTTTAAGCTGGTGTGAAAGTATTGTTACTATAAAGGATACCAGAATGACACAAGCAAAGGTTTCTGTACCTGGGAGACACTGGGTTAGTACGGCATCGTCTGCTATGTCTGAAGCCTGGCAGCTTCCATCAGGTTCCGTTACATAGGCTTTTTTCTGTTAAAACACAACATTCACCATCAAGGGAACATACACAATCAAAACTCACCATAAGGGAACTTGTACACAATCAAAACTCACTATAAGGCAACTTCTAAATAATCAAAACTAACCGTAAAGGAACTTATATACAATCAAAACTCACTATAAGGCAACTTATACACAATCAAAACTAACCGCAAAGGAACTTATACACAATCAAAACTCACCATAAGGGAACTTATACACAATCAAAATTAACCGTAAAGGAAATTATACACATTCAAAACTAACCGTAAAGGAACTTGCACACAATCAAAATTCACCATAATGGAACTTATACACCATTAAAACTCACCATAAGGGAACTTAAACACAATCAAAACTCACCATAAGGGAACTTATATACAATCAAAACAAATCCCCATATTGAAGCTGGGACACAACCCGTACCTTGTATTCATCTGTCTTTTCTTAAGTTTAAGATCTTTCTTTTACTATATCTTCTATTTAATTTTCAGTTTAAAAATTTCACTTTGAAGAAAATGTTTAGATTTTATTTAACGGACACTTACAGCGGCCAGGTCTTGGACAATGGTACGTGTTGGAGTCACGCTGCCCAACAGTTGTCTTTTAAAATCAATGGCCCCGACTCCACCTTCCTGGGAATGAAATGTAAAAGTGTGTCACGTCAATAAACCATCTAGTCCTACTATAAAAAATTTGATCCTTTAATTATAGTATCATCATTATCAATATACTGTCAAGAATAATCAGAGAATTGACTACTTTGAATTATCAACTATTGGATAACCGTTCACAGGGGGGAGTTGTTACTCGGGAAAAGTGCGCTCTGTTAAATCAAAGGACAGGAACTACTTTCAAAAATTCACATTGAAATCAAGTTCATCCCATTTTCATAAGTGCCACCTAGGTAACACCATTATTTCTACGTATGTCGATTCACCATCTTCATTGTCATACAAAAATAGAGACTTAAAGTTATTTGCGTTATCAATATCTTTTTGGAAGCATTGTGTGTAAATTATAATCGTTAAGATAAACATGTTTAACGTCGGTGAAATAATTAACAAATCGAAATTTCATTTCCGTACAGTTATTATTTTTTTGACCGCTGAGAAAGGAACAAAATGTCTGATTGAGAGAAAGAAAAATGAAAGAAACATTAAAATCCTACCCTGAGCATTAAGGGTTTTTGTGTGTGTTTTTTTGTGTGTGTTTTATTTTAAATATTTATCTTAATTGAAATCTGCAACTTTAATTTTTTTCCTCCCACATTTATACGGCCGTTTACAAATCTAAATGATTTAAACCAGAAACTCAATGCACTCACGTCCTTATCCAAGTTGAACGAGATGAACTGAACTGTGTCTGGCAGACAAACTTTGGCCGGATCCATCTGTTGTCCCAAAACAAAGGGCAGCAAGGCTCCTAAGAGAATTATGGAAAACATTGCGATAGTCGTTCCTGGATGTCAAAAATTTGACATGTGGAGTTTTGTGAAGCTGTTTCGGAAATATTTTTTTGGTTTTATAAGAAGTCTTTTACCCCCCGCCTATATTGACTTGTTCAAATATCCCGTGGACAATTTAAATCCTACCACACATGAAATTTTAACGGAATAGTTCGCGCATTCATTCAGTCGTGACCTAAATCTGAGCCCACGGAACGGTGTACACAAAGTACACTAAGTACACATAGGGACATGGGCGGATCTGTAAGAGAAATGCACTGTACGTTACAAGATCACAGTCGGGGGGGGGGGGGGGGAGAAGTGCCTTGATTGTTGAAAAAACACGACTTGGTATGTTCTTGACGTATTCCAATCTATGAAAGCAATGGGGCGTGGTCTGAGTGTCTACCATCTGACACACATTAAGTGTTCACCATCAGAACAAACGCACTTAACACTGCCTTTGTACATTTTACGATTTGTTGAAACAATTATTTTTTTTTTGCAAGATGCGCTTATGATATTGACGTACCAATCATTTTTTTTTAACTTTTTCTGTGCGTTTGGGAATTTTTTACCTATTTGCGGTATTTTAAAATATTTCAAATTGTTTGTTCTACTATTTCAGTAGCATCCTCCAAAATAATAGTTGGTCATGTTTGTTGAACTATTCTTCTGTTGTGTCCACTGTGTGTCTATAGCTATCAAACATTGAATTCAAGCCACATAAGTGTATTACCCCCCCCCCTTTTTTTTTCCTCTCCCCCCTCCCTCCAAATTGATCGTGTTGTGAGGAATTCCCCCCTCTCTGCACATCCCTGATTTTTATTAAGGCTTTCATTTCAAAGGTTGACAATGTTTTAGCTCAGTTAAACGTAATAAATACTACCTACTTTGGGATACATTTCTTCTGTAGATTGATGACGAAATCGTTGCTAAAAGATATGCATCCTTACGCAGAATGTGCAACACTAAACATAATTCAAATATCGCGGCCAAAGAGATCACGTGTCTGCCAACTAATGGTATTAAAGGGATTCCAAAATGATGTCGTCCTCGTAAATATCTGCATGACACTAATAAATGAATAATTCCGATCTTTCCCGAAGATGTCAGCAGCGATACTCGCCGTAAAGCGCCCGAACAAATTTGACCGAATACAGCTGGAACGATACTGTGCGAGAGGAGCTGGAACAATTCTAGCAAATACAACTGAACCATATAAGCTGAAGAGTACTGCAGCGCTATTGACTCAGAAATATCGAAGGGCTCATTATAGTTTCCTAAAGTATCTCAATTTCCAAATGTTTGCTCACATGTTACTAAACGACAATTTCTGTTCTCATCTCCGTTTTCTGGAGGTCTGTAGTTCAGTGCTGTCTTAACCCGATTTGGATATCATCTTGAGAGTTTAATTTACATGGCTGTCGAACTATATCAGCGACGAAAAAAAAACATTAAAATAAACAGTTGATGTTCCTCTTGAAAAATGAAACTGTGAAACCTTCTTAAATGTATTAATACCATCAGTGTTTTCATGTTAGATTTTCCACGCATGCCTTCTCATTTCGTAGCATTTCGTAACATAAACATTTATTTAATTTTGTTGTTGTTCTTTTTCGGGGTGGGGGAGGGTTTTTGTTGTTTAAAAAAAAAAACGGCTCTGTCCTAGCCCTAAATAATACTTTGAACCCTCATGTGACTTGGAATCCTCATGTGACTTAGCACTCTTACGTGACTTGGGACCCTTACGTGACTTGGGAACCTCGTAGAAAAGTATTGACGTTTACAGCTGACCTTGTCGTCACAGACTAAGATGCCACTGCACAAGTCCACGAAAATAGCCGAACATTGCCGAACATTTACGAACATTTCCGAACATTGGGAAAAAGAGATGTTTAAACAAAGTATCCTGTGAAATTATAGGATTTCTTTATCACACGTCTGCTGCATCAAGCTGGCTGCATGTCTATACGGCTAATGTTAAACTCCACGCTTGCAATATGACTAATTTCAACCTAAATGCTGGCTAAATGGCTAATGTCAACCTTCAATCTGGCTAAATGGCTAATGGCAACCTTCAATCTGGCAGTATTCCGAATCTCAACATTCAAGGTGGCTTTATGGCTAATGTCAACCTGGAAGCCGGCTATATGGCTAATGTGAACCTTCCAGCTCGCTACATCGCTAATGTCAAACTTCAAACTGGTTACATAGTTAATGTCATCCTTGAAGCTAGATATATTGGCTATATGGATATTGTCTTTCTCAAAGCTAGCTATATGGCTAATGTCATCTTTTAAGCTGGCTATATGGCTAATGTTAACCTTCTTGTTTGGAAATAAGATCCAACGATAGCATTTGCTGATATGTACAAAGGATAAAACAGGGCACAATTGGAAACATACAATAAGACGACACAAGGGTTTGTGGACTGAGTTATTTAGTCAAATGTCATATTGAAATTAACGTGAGTCACAATAATACATCATGGAACACACAAAAATTAAAATTTCCTTAGCGAAGTTGTTTCTAGCCGACGGTTGCAGGTGGACAGGGGTCAGGGATCTTGAAAGGGTTTGGTACGGTGATGTTCTGGCTTTGGTCGAAATAGAGGCTGCTGTGAGCAAGACCTTGATCTGTGGGAGAGTGAGAGACATAGTTTAAAAATCTGTAATACATTATCAATTACATCTATTATGCAATGGAAGAATATGAATTGTTTAGTTCGATAGTCTTCTTTCTGTCAAGATGATGGCAATAAAAACTTTTTTTTTAAAATAATAATAATTCCCTCAAACAGACAAACTGACGCTCCGAGGCAGGCAGAGGGAGAGAGAGGTAGAGATTGAGAGAAAGAGAGGAACAGAGGAAGAGAGAGAGAGAGGAGAGATAAAAGGGAATAGAGTGAAAGAATGAGAAAGGTACTTGTTTCATCTCCGCTGAAAAGACAGATGACAGCAAAGTTATATTCCTCGTATTTTGTTTTGGTTCTCTTTGGGTCTCAATCTAATGAATTGTTCGCGTGTTCAATCTAGTCGATGTAAAATGTAACACTGAAAACTCAACGAATTTGTGCAACGTGTTCGAATTTCAATGACTGGTTGTAACGTAATAGTTTCATTTATGAGATACACATTTGCTAGGACTTTCTCATTAAGATTAATGCCAGGAAAGCACCAACAAAAAAATCGACGATAATGTAGACATCACGGATTTTTTTTTTGAACGACCATGGATGAGATGTAAGTACAAACCATCAACCAGCCTCGCCATGAAGGGATAACGTGGCTCCCCGGGCTGATTGCTGTAGGCCACCCTCATGGTTACGCCTTTGAACGGGATGTCCCAGGCCTCGGCGGGCACACGGCTTGGCCCAGAGCCGATGAAAAGTTCACCAACGTAAGTGGATGTCGCTGTCAATGAGATGTTAAGGTGAAAGTGGGTGTTGCTGTAAATGAGATGTTAAGGTGAAAGTGGATGTCGCTGTAAATGAGATGTTAAGGTGAAAGTGGATGTTGCTGTCAATGAGATGTTAAGATGAAAGTGGATTTCGCTGTCAATGGGATGTTAAGATGAAAGTGGATGTTGCTGTCAATGAGATGTAAAGATGAAAGTGGATGTTGCTGTCAATGGGATGTTAAGATGAAAGTGGATGTTGCTGTAAATGAGACGTTAAGATAAAAGTGGATGTTGCTGTAAATGAGACGTTAAGATTAAAGTGGATGTTGCTGTAAATGAGATGTTAAAATGAAAGTGGATGTTGCTGTAAATGAGATGTTAAAATGAAAGTGGGTGTTGCTGTAAATGAGATGTTAAGATGAAAGTGGATGTTGCTGTAAATGAAATGTTATGGTAATCACACCCATTATGATAGGACGTACACTAGACACCGTGATACATAAAATACGCCGTATTCTTTAAAACGTTAAAATTGTTGACCTGGTAAACACTGGGGATAAACTTCTTCCGGGGAGAGGCTGACATACTGGCAGTTGCCAGTGGCGTCAATGGTGTAGGTCCTCAGCTGGAACATGTCAGAAGATATTTTTAAAAAATATCATCAAGTGATAACAAAAGTGTAGATTCGAAACCGTACATGACCATCAACCATCGTAGTCCGCTATCGACCGTAGATGGGTGCTCCATGGATTTGTCTACCTTTATAACCATAATGGTATAGGGAGTTTGCTGGGCGACCGTGTGGTCCTATTTATTTATTTATTTATTTGTTTCACTATGAAGGTATTTTATTAAATAACGCTTTATCTTGAATACGTTACACTTGGTAGTAACACCACAATCTGGGTAAAATTATTCTCTATTCCAAAGTTCCATCTCTTCAATGGTGGCTGTTCTTCTCTGTGTTGGAGATGACGGTGAATAGGGTCTTTAATGATGCAGCGCCATTACACTTTAAGGACGTTCATACACCATGTGAGTAGAGGCGGTGGGGTTGGGGGCGGGGGGGGGGGATCTGTTCAGAGAAACTTTTCGAGCCACATACTCGATAGGAAAGGGTGCTTAAGCGGATTAGCAGAATGTGTCCGGGTTCAATCCCATTGTTTAGAATTTGAATTCATACACCATGTGAGTAGAGGCGGTGGGGTTGGGGGCGGGGGGGGGGGATCTGTTCAGAGAAACTTTTCGAGCCACATACTCGATCGGAAAGGGTGCTTAAGCGGATTAGCAGAATGTGTCCGAGTTCAATCCCCTTGTTTAGAATTTGACGCGTGTCGTGATTAAAACGGTTGTCTATATGTTATAATACGTTCTATAAAGTTAACATATGTTTTAACTTGTCTAGGTCTTACACTACAGTTCTATAAAGTTAACATATGTTTTAACTTGTCTAGGTCTTACACTATAGGTCTATAACGTTAACATATGTCTTAACTTGTGTAGTACTTACACTACAGTTCTATAAAGTTAACATGTGTCTTAAATTGTCTAGGTTTTACACTATAGGTCTATAAAGTTAACAAATGTCTCACGTTGCTTGGGTCTTACACTAAGGCTATATAAAGTTAAAATATGTCTTACCTTGTCTAGGTATTACACTTTAGTTCTATAAAGTTAACATATGTCTTCCCTTGCCTAGGTCTGACACTTCAGTTCTATAAAGTTAACAAGTGTCTTCTCTTGCCCAGGTCTTACACTATAGTTCTATAAATTAACTTATGTCTTCCAGTGTCTAGGTCTCCTACTACAGTCCTATAAATGTAGCAGTTTTCTTACCACGTCTATAGGTTGTACTACTCTCTTATAAAGTTGACAGATTGTTTTACCTTCTCGTAATCATCCACTATAGTCACATTAGGTGAGACGCTGGTGAGCAGGTTCTGCTTGAAATCAACAGCAATTTGAACTCTTTCCTGGGAGATTGTTGTATGGTTACTTGTCTTTCTATTTTATAGTAATTTCAGTCTATAACTTATATTTAATCTATAACTTAAATATTAAACCCCCACGTTCTGAAGAGCTTCGTATTCGAGATGACATGCAACATTGAAATAATTACATTCTCACAAGCAAATGAACATTATTACATTTCCACAGAAAAGTAACGAAAAAAAATGTAATAAAATCGAACGTATAAAACATTGCGCAAAAAACACTTCCAATTTAAAACCTCCGTCAATTCCCAGAAAAACTTTCTTATACATGTGGTAATTAATTCAATATGACGCAGTGGTGTAGCTAGGGTAAGTGGTAATTAATTCAATATGACGCAGTGGTGTAGCTAGGGTAGTGGTAATTAATTCAATATGACGCAATGGTGTAGCTAGGGTAGTGGTAATTAATTCAATATGACGCAGTGGTGTAGCTAGGGTAGTGGTAATTAATTCAATATGACGCAGTGGTGTAGCTAGGGTAGTGGTGATTAATTCAATATGACGCAGTGGTGTAGCTAGGGTAGTGGTAATTAATTCAATATGACGCAGTGGTGTAGCTAGGGTAGTGGTAATTAATTCAATATGACGCAGTGGTGTAGCTAGGGTAGTGGTAATTAATTCAATATGACGCAGTGGTGTAGCTAGGGTAGTGGTAATTAATTCAATATGACGCAGTGGTGTAGCTAGGGTAGTGGTAATTAATTCAATATGACGCAGTGGTGTAGCTAGGGTAGTGGTAATTAATTCAATATGACGCAGTGGTGTAGCTAGGGTAAGTGGCGCCCGGGATGGCTCAAGATTTTTGACGCACCACGTTCTCGGAAAAAAAACAACCTCTGCAGTTTGCCGATAATGCCGCCTGTCCATAAAACAAGAAAAGTATACCATGGAATAAAACAAACTATACAACTTTATGACCTGTAAGTGCAAAAAGTAATACGCTACGTCAGATAAATTGTTAAATGTTACATTAATGACGCATATCTATAAATATAATATTAAGACGACTCACAAATACATAAATTTACGTCAGCATATACATACGCCTGTCTCTATGTTGTATTCTAAGACTTGAAAGACGTCCGGTAAGCAGACTTTGGTGGGATCTGCGGCTCCCCAAACCAGGGGGAGTAATGCAAGCGCCAGCACCGAGGAAAACATGACCCTTGAAAACTGTCCTGTAAGATGTGTGCGTGGACAAAGTAGTCGGATGTCCGGCAGCTTGGTTTTACAGTCTTCACCATGGCTCTGCTATTCCCGGCTATGGCATAATTAGAAATCTCTAACTCTCAAGTGGCATTTTCTTATCTCGGGGGCAAAGTCTTGAATGTGTACGAGGGGTAGGTAAATCAAATATCCATACAAAATAGGACATCAGATTTAAAAAAAAAAAAATAAAGTAGATCAAACATCGGTGGAATGCGTGTTAAATTCTGAAGAGTCGACTTGTTTGAACAGCGGCTGACTTATTTTTATTTTAGTTCTCAAACTCCAATTTCATGAACGCATTGAACCCGCCGCTGCTGAGCCGCATGCGGCACTTTACATGATTAAATAAATGCGCCTTTAAAAAAAAATACTTATTTACAATTTTACTTAAAAAGTCCGGCCCTGGCTACTAGGCACAAATATTTTCTCAGCAGTTATAATTTATAAAAATGGGGCTCTCTCACAGAAAGTTTACAGAACCCTGCATGCAAACAAGATAAGGTGAGGACTATTCTTATCCACGTTTTAAAGAGAGATGGAATTTAATTAACTACCTTGACATAAAACACGATACTGAGCACCTGTCTGCTATCTTACCGGTTAAACAACGACTGTAGTTGGTAGAGTTTATTTATATAAGTATAGGCGTACATCCAAAAAAAAAAAAAAAATCTCAAAACCCAATCATTTTACATAAATAAAAATTTAATCTTAAAAATAAAACAATATTTTCATNAAAAATACTTATTTACAATTTTACTTAAAAAGTCCGGCCCTGGCTACTAGGCACAAATATTTTCTCAGCAGTTATAATTTATAAAAATGGGGCTCTCTCACAGAAAGTTTACAGAACCCTGCATGCAAACAAGATAAGGTGAGGACTATTCTTATCCACGTTTTAAAGAGAGATGGAATTTAATTAACTACCTTGACATAAAACACGATACTGAGCACCTGTCTGCTATCTTACCGGTTAAACAACGACTGTAGTTGGTAGAGTTTATTTATATAAGTATAGGCGTACATCCAAAAAAAAAAAAAAAATCTCAAAACCCAATCATTTTACACAAATGAAAATTTAATCTTAAAAATAAAGCAATATTTTCATCCTTTACAGTTCATGGGTCTGAACAAAGATCGGTTAAGATTTTTCTTTCAAAAATAGGAAAGTGTGTGTACATTTTTTTGAGATTAATAATATTTCAACAGCAAAGAAATCACTTATGACTGTTACAGACGTGAAAATTGGTTATGAGAGTATCTTCTTCACATATAAAAAGTATGTGTCTTATATTATAACCAAAATTTGAATGAAGATACCAATGCATCAATGTGTTCAGAACTATCCGAGATAGACGAAAATCCGCTAACTAGTGACCTTATATTAAATTTATTATTTATATATAGATTTAAGACTTTATAAACCGTCCCCACACTATTATAAACCATCTTCACACTCTTTTATAAACCCCCCCTACACGCTCATAAGCCCTTCCCACACTCTTATAAACCTTTCCCACACTGCTATTAAACTTTCTCCAACACTCTTATAAAACACTTCCTATACCCCGAAAAGCGTTCTGCAGTGTGCCGTAGCCACGTTACCCACACGTGCGAGTCTTTCTCTGCTCATTGTTTTACTGCAAAAGAAAATTAATTATTTTTTTTTTACAAACTATTTACCGCAAACGCAAAATCCCGCTTTATACTGAAAAATCCGAAATTAGATATAAACAAATAACCAATCCGCGATACATTGAGACCGCGAAAAGTAAACTCGCGGTGGACTTTAGGGGGGGGGGAGGGGGGGAGAGTGTATATACATTTAAATGTGGGGAAAACTATATCTTTAAATCCGATGATACTAAAAGATATGAAAGGGAAGTTTTACATTTTATTTTAAAATACATAAATATGTGTTAAAAAATATCGGAAATACATTTACATAGGTGCACCCACACCGCTAAACCCCTTTACATACCGTACGTAAAATTTGGATTTGAGATGGTGAGAGATCGCAATTGCAGGAAGAAAGCGCGATGCCCCTGCCAATATCACCCGAGGAATGCCGGGTCATAACTGCTAGTTCAAATATGTAATTGAAAAACACTTGTGGTAGAGAGTAAAAAAATATTTATTCAAAGGTGAAACTGGCGTCACTTAAACATTATTAAAATAAACACAAAAATATATAATGAAATATTCAGATATGTTGTGAAGTTGTATTTAGCCGATGGTAGCAGGTGGACAAGGGTCAGGGATCTTGAAGGCGTTGGGTACTGTGATGTTCAGGGTTGGGTTGGAACAGAAGTTGGTGAAGGGAATTCCTTGAGCTGGGGAAGAGACGGATATTATACAAACTGAGTTATTATGAATTGGCAGATATAAGAGCGTCATACTTTTTTTTTTATATTCAAAAGTATTAAAATTATTCCATTTAGTTTGTGGGAATGGATAAGCGTTATAGAAAGATTATTAACTTTCATTTTCCTCCCTCGAATTGTAACCCCCCCCCCCTCCCCTGCCTCTCCCCCGTAATAAACTAATCTAATATAGGGAAGAATTTGACCGTAATAAATTTCCTTTTCCCCCCCCCAATTGTACCCCCCCCCCCCCCTCCCCTGCCTCTCCCCCGTAATAAACTAATCTAATATAGGGAAGAATTTGACCGTAATAAACTAATCTAATATAGGGAAGAATTTGAACGTAAACGAATCTAATACAGAGAAAAATTTGACCGTAATAAACTAATCTAATATAGAGAAGAATTTGACCGTAATAAACTAATCTAATATAGAGAAGAATTTGACCGTAATAAACTATTATATAAGGAAAAATTTGACGTTTCATTAAGAATGACAATAAAAATAACAATGATTAAAATGGTATCATTAAAGAGGACCAAGCTTAATAGGACAATGCTAAATCTGAAAAAGGTACAAGATAATGAGCATGACAATATGACCTTGATAGAGAAGTTTAGAGATAAGTTGTATGTACCAACCATTAACAAACTTGACCAAGACAGCATAACGTGGCTCCCCTGGCTGATGGCTAACGGCCGCCCTCAGTGTTCCGCCAAAGTATGGAGTCTCCCAGGCCTCGGCTGGGACACGGTTGGGACCGAACCCGATGAAAACTTCACCAATATAAGTGGATCTCGCTGCAAAAATCAATTGTTGAGATAATTTAATCTGGAATGTGGCGTTCCAGGGCGTACTTGAAACAGTCTGATCAATTTAAACCAAATGAAATGTCATCTTTTTTTTTTTACCTGGTAAACACTGAGGATAAAATTGTTCCGGGAGAATGTTGGCCGATTGGCAGTTACCACTGGCATCAAAGGTGTAAGACTTGAGCTGAAACATGTCAGGGAAGGTCATTGCCATGCCATGTCTGAACATTGTAAGATATTAAACAAAAATTCATTAGAAATTGCAGATTTAAACCTATCGATTGAGCTTACAATTCCTTTGGCGATTTGTTGATATAAACCGTATGCCTATATATATATTAGCCTTAAGAGTATACACTTTTATTTCCATTGTCTACCCCTTCAAATGCGAATATGACCGAGGCTTCGACTTGAGGAGTAGCCTTGGCGTGAGCTGTAGTTTGTTTAAAAGTGTGGAAGCGTTTTGTTTTTTTTTAATTCTTGAGCCCTACTCTCCTGTCTTTGCTTATTTGTTCCAATTGCAGTCAAGACCGCTATAAATAAACCAGGATGCAGTGGATGACCAGCGGTGTTGTGTGTGTGTGTGTCTCACTGTGCTCTTATGCGTTCCGCGTCGCAGAACTTTTCATTGCATCAGTGTCACAGCGGCTATGGGAGACCATCTCCGGGCTTAACGTCACAGTTTAGGCTTTAAGCTGGGGTTGGAACCCCAGTCCACAAGTTTGTAATTGCCTCAGTTTAAACCACTCGGCCACCTACAATAATAACTCGCTCCCTGTCTTAACTCTCCCCCCCCACCCAAGCACTCTGCTGGCAGAGTGTCGTACTCCCAACACTCTGCCAGCCAGCAGAGTGTCGTACTCCCAGCACTCTGCCAGCCAGCAGAGTGTCGTACTCCCAGCACTCTGCCAGCCAGCAGAGTGTCGTACTCCCAGCACTCTGCCAGCCAGCAGAGTGTCGTACTCCCAGCACTCTGCCAGCCAGCAGAGTGTCGTACTCCCAGCACTCTGCCAGCCAGCAGAGTGTCGTACTCCCAGCACTCTGCCAGCCAGCAGAGTGTCGTACTCCCAGCACTCTGCCAGCCAGCAGAGTGTCGTACTCCCAGCACTCTTCTGGCAGAGTGTTGCAACTTTCACATTGGATTTTAAAACAAAACAACCGAAAACTAAAAACAAAATGATAGTAACACTAAGTGTGGTCGTAATGTTTCTTATATGTGAACCTTCCCAGATAGCCGGCATTAAATTATTTAATGATAAGGGTTAACAGCTGTCTTACCTTGACGAAATCTTGTACTACCGTCTGATTGGGTGATGCACTGGTGAGCAGTTTTTGCTTAAAATCAATGGCAATTTGTGCTGATCCCTGTACGGATATCAAATGTTGTAAAAACATTACATTACTGAGATTTATTTTTTTATTTTTAAATTGCTATTTTTTTATGCAAATCGTCTCTCTCTCTCTCTCTCTCTCTCTCTCTCTCTCTCTCTCTCTCTCTCTCTCTCTCTCTCTCTCTCTCTCTCTCTCTCTCTCTCTCTCTCTCTCTCTCTCTCTCTCTCTTTCTCTCTCTCTCTCTCTCTCTCTCTCTCTCTCTCTCTCTCTCTCTCTCTCTCTCTCTCTCTCTCTCTCTCTCTCTCTCTCTCTCTCTCTCTCTCTCTCTCTCTCAATCTCTCTCTCTCCCTCTGAAGATCTTTCAAATCTGGAGTGTATCCAACATAAAATTAAATATATTACAGCAAGACATTTATATATAGTGGCAGAAAAAATATGTGATATGAAAGAAATCTCATTAATATGTCATTAAAGTTATAATTTTAAAATTGATACATTAAGACGTACAATTATGGTGTATTCATTGTCGTTTACACCGGATTATCCGTCACTGCAGAAGATGATACATTAATCTATATTAAAATGTTGAATGCTACAAAAGGCTACATAAATATAAATATGATATAATCTACAGAACGTCAAATTACTTCAGAATATGCATACATCTGTTTCTATGTTGTACGAAAAGAATTGAAACACATCGGGGGCGCAGACTTTGGTGGGATCTGGTGCTCCCCAAACCAGGGGGAGCAATACAAGTGCTATCACTGAAGAAAACATGACTGCTGAATACGGTTGTGTGGCTCAACAAAATAGATGTGTGGGTGCTTGGTTGTGGTTGCTTGCTTTTATACTCATCACTTTTGGTGAATTCCGGGTCAAGGCCTCGTTTAAAAAATGTACAAGTTTAATTTTCTTATCTTGGGGAACGAACTTTACAACTAATTCTTAAAAGTCCAGTTGAACTAGGTCAAATTTATATTACTTAGGGGTAAAAATTCGTTTGAAACATCAAAGAGGTCAAACATCAGCGGAGCGCGTGTTGAATGGTTGAATTATGTAGAGTTAGACAGCCACTTTAAGAAGAAAAAAAACACATCTCTTTTTGATATTTAGTTTCTAACTCCAAATTATGAATGCATTAAACCAGTGGTCGTCCACATGCGGCTCTTTCAGTGAATAAATGCGCCTATTCTAAAAATAAATTTAAAAAAAACACACACAAATCGATAAAGCTACTGAAACAAACAACCCCCCCCCCCCCCCCCCCCCTGCCAGTGGCTCCCACATTATATTCTCACATTGCTCATAAAAAATTGATCAGTGCTCAAAATTATTTGCTGATCCTTGCATTAAATCTTAGATATTGTTACGATATGTTCCCTGCTCAGAATGGATCAATGTTAAGTGGTTTAGAAGGAAAAAAAATGGAGCCAATGTGCTATTTAAAGTTCTATTTGTTATCTCTAGTGTAGGGGCATTAACCCTTGGTCGCCAGACACACGTACCAATGCAAGTGTTAATATACACACAGTGGTGAGACCAAATTAAAAATGTCTTGGGATCAACTTGGGCTTCGACACAATAAAATATTTACATGATGACCAGCTGACGATATTAAAATATAGACATAAAGGAGACCCATATGATTGTTTTACTCGACTCAACGTTCCCTTAGGTGCTCTATTAATTGGGAGTTAGCTGTATCAAAAAGACCAAGCGACTTAAGGTCCGTAGACGCTACCTAAGGTGTGTAGCAAACATAGGCGTACCCCATGGGATTTTAAACACTACTGGTGTGGGGATGAGTGGTGGTACTAAAAAGTTAGATTTTAGCTAATAATGAATAATAATAATAGCTGTGGTGCATCTCTTTGTTAAGATTTTCTTTCTAGTGACAAATCCATCGAGTCGTAAGCATGAAATTATGTAGTCCCACGTGACACTCACCCTCGGTTGATCCTGTCTACCTCTTGCTCACCTGCACAGGCGCAGCTGATTTGCTGACACAGAGTATGTGTGTTGTAATGGTTAGACTCTAATGGAAGTTTGATTCTGCGCTAAGGAATTAGGTCGCCTAACTCTTTTTATCCGTGCCTTTGTAAACCGTAGCTGTTTAAAAGAGTAAATAATTATATTTTTGTCGATAAGTTACAGTTTACAATTTTAATACTAAAAAGTAGAATATCATATAAATTTTTTAAAAAATAAAAAAATAAATTTCAAAAGAATTTCCTCAAACGACGAGTTTGAAAAGTAAACTTAAAGGTAGAATTTTTTTTTTTTTAAATTCCTTAAGAGGGTTAATGCAAAGAGGTCTATACAGAAAATATTTTTAAAACTTTTACAAATAAAACATATTAATGCTTCTTCTACATTAAATTTAAATCCTTCGGCTGCATATAGTGTCATATTACCAGTCTGCGCATACATTTTAAGTCGTTTCAACTCGTCTCTCAAAGAAAATATTTTTTTTAAAATATATATTTGATTAAATACTAGAAGTTTTAACCCGGTGGTAGTCAGGTATTAACTAGAAGGCTTTTTGCGCTACTTTCTACATGATATTGTGAAGTCTCCACATCTAAACACCAAATGTTTAACTATCTAACTGAATCAGGTTTTTAATGTATTGTATCTCAACAACACAAAATTACTAATTTTCCGTCCCTTTGAAGTGTATATATGGGAACAAGTTAAAAAATTCTTAATTTAGATATTTTCTTTTATAACATCAATGGGTTTAGAGAAATATACATATAATCGAGCCGTGCCCTACACTTTTTCACGCCAATCAAGTACAGATAAGATATATTCATATCTTTCAAAAAATTGTCAAACCATAAATGTCTTTAATATAAAAAGAAATCTATTGACGGGTATAAATATATTTAACCGTCACTTATTCTACCCTTTTTACCTCGCCCCAGAACTATATGTCCGGAAAAACATAAAACTTAGACCTATTATATCTAAAGAAAAACGTCTCTGGACTGATGTTCCGGTTAATTAAAAAATATGGTTATTTATTTTAAGTTTAAATCTCTATCAGTGTTCATAGGTTTAACCTTTTGGAATTGTAGATCTTGAAATTAAAATGCACCCCCTTACCCGACCCCCTACCCTTTCCCATTCTTCTGGCATTTAAGTTGTAAAAAAACTTGCTGTATTAGAATAATCTTCGAGTTTCCCTCGTATTTAATTTAGTCATTTATTTCTGATCGTCTATATCCGACAGTGGCAAACTCTTGACACCACGTGTTTGCCTTGAGACTTGCGGAAAGCGCACTTTCGCATTTGCTGGTCCAACAATTTGGAACGCCCTTCCACTCGATCTCAGAAACATCCAGATACTGGAGTCCTTTAAAACTGATTTAAAGACACATTTATTTCGCAAACACCTTCTGGGATGATTGTCTACCATATTTTCCATTTAATGCATATTAGCTGTGTTGCTCACGGTTGAAATGGGTTGAAAGACTTTGACATTGTATGCTTGTAATTAGTTTTTGTAGTGTTGCGTTTGTTTTAAATGTGGTAAATTATAGATTTGTTTTTTGTTGACTTTGTACCGCGCTTCGAGCCTTTGGGGATGAAGCGTGTTTTTGAAATGAACTTTATTATTATTATTATTATTATTATATTTCCCGTTAATCTCATACGCAAAGTCTTTGATTTTATGGGTCACTTCCGTAATTGAATACGTCTACCACTTCCTGTCAACTGTATACCTATACAAGCTGAGCTTGTCTCTGTAATTTCGCTGTCGAAGGCTACTTGGCTGAAACGTCAATTTGTTTACCCCATTTGTCAAGTGTGGATTTCTTACTGCCTCAACCTGAACGCAGTTCTCCCCGTATTTATGTTTAATTACCGGCTTGTTTGTATGTTTGTTTTCTTGATGATTTTTTAAAAACTGATCTTCGTATCGCCCGCTATTTTGCAGATTGGCTCACTTGACTTTCAAAGAAAATTATAAATTATGTCTGACTTGATCCTTATGAATTAGCTGCATTACAGGAGACCACGACCCATCGGGAACATATTAGAACAAGGAATTTTAAAAATGGTACCCCATTGGAAAACATTGTGGTCCTTTGTTATTTTTAACACTTCATATAAGCCAGCTAGATTGTGGCTTCTTTAAAATTCTCATTTGGTTATACAAAACACGTACAGAATTGGGTATTTTAATTTTAAAACAATACAGCCGTGTGCAATTCGAATCACGTGGGGTAGAGAGTAAATATATTTATTCAAATATGAAACTGATGTCATGTGAACATCGTCAAAATAAACAAAAGGTATAATGGAATTGTCAGATATGTTGTGAAGTTGTATCTAGCCGACGGTCGCAGGTGGGCATGGGTCGGGGATCTTGAAGGCGTTGGGTAACGTGATGTTCTGGCTTGGGTTGGAAGAGAACGTGGTCACGGAAACTCCTTGAGCTGGGGAGAGAGATGTGTTAACAAACTGTATTATTATGAGTTGGACGATAATGAACATAATATAAATTGCTATAGGTAGAAGCAAAAATGTATCAGTAGATATTCTGCAAGAGTTTGTAGCAATAAATCAGTGTAATGGGACATTTATAAGCTTTCCCTTTTATGCCCTCATCTTGAAATCCACACTAACCCTCGGAAAAAATATATGAAAAATATAACACTCTCATCAAAAAGAGAGAGAGAGAGGGGGGGGTAGAGAGAAGAGGAAGAGAAGACGAATACACGTGAGAGAAAGAGACGCCTTATCTAAGAGAAAGAGGTGTCTTATCTAAGAGAAAGAGGTGTCTTATCTAAGAGAAAGAGGTGTCTTATCTAAGAGAAAGAGGTGTCTTATCTAAGAGAAAGAGGTGTCTTATCTAAGAGAAAGAGGTGTCTTATCTACCTTTGGAAAGAAGATTCGAACTCAAGCGTTTAACTTGTAAGTTTCGAGGTTTTCGTCTTTTTTTAAAGCAAGTTAGAGTAATGTGAGTTGAAAATGCAACGCTTTGAACAAGATACATTTAAACGGTTTTTGACCAATCTAATTTAAGGGCATTTTAATGGTTATTGACCAATCTAATTTCGGGGCATTTTAATGGTTATTGACCAATCTAATTTAAGGGCATTTTAATGGTTATTGACCAATCTAATTTCGGGGCATTTTGATGGTTATTGACCAATCTAATTTAAGGGCATTTTAATGGTTATTGACCAATCTAATTTAAGGGCATTTTAACGGGTATTGGCCAATCTAATTTAAGGGCATTTTAACGGGTATTGGCCAATCTAATTTAAGGGCATTTTAATGGTTATTGACCAATCTAATTTAAGGGCATTTTAATGGTTATTGACCAATCTAATTTAAGGGCATTTTAATGGTTATTGACCAATCTAATTTAAGGGCATTTTAATGGTTATTGACCAATATAATTTAAGGGTATTTTAACGGGTATTGGCCGATCTAATTTAAGGGCATTTTAACGGGTATTGACCAACCTAATTTAAGGGCATTTTAACGGGTATTGACCAATCTAATTTAAGGGCATTTTAACGGGTATTGACCAATCTAATTTAAGGGCATTTTAACGGGTATTGACCAATCTAATTTAAGGGCATTTTAACGGGTATTGACCAATCTAATTTAAGGGCATTTTAACGGGTATTGACCAATCTAATTTAAGAAGATATTAACGTTTCATTAAAATGACCATAAAAATGTTCACGGTGGAGGTGTCCAATGGTAGAAAAGCCACGAGGACTAGGACTATGATTTAAAGGTACTGTGATCATTATGACCATAATACATGTTAATAGGATAAAACAAATTACCATAAAAAATATTGATCATGATAAATATGACCTTGCTAAATATGACCATGAAAACAATCACAAAAGATACGACGTAAGCACTGACCGTCAGTATACTTGGACAAGATAGCATAACTTGGCTCCCCAGGCTGCTTGCTAAAGGCAACCCTTACTATCCCGCCATTGTATGGAGTCTGCCAGGCCTCGGCTGGGACACGGTTGGGACCGAACCCGATGTAAATTTCTCCAATGTAAGTTGCCGTCGCTGTAATAATCAATGGTTGAGATACTTTAATATGTAACATGGTGTACGTGAAACATTTTGATAAATGTAAACCAAACGAAATCACATTTTTTTAAATCGTTTAATTGGTTACCTGGTAAACATTGGGGGTAAATTTGTTCCGGGAGAAGGTTGGCCGATTGGCAGTTACCAGTAGCGTCAACAGTGTAAGACTTGAGCTGAAACATGTCAGGGAATAGTCATTGACATGTCATGTCTGAACATTGTAAGATATTAAACACTATATTCAGAATTGTAGAAATTGCAGATTTCGACATATCAATTTTGCTTTCATGTCCATCGACAAAATATTGATATAAATCGATTGGCCAATACCTATTGGCCTTAAGAAGACTAAACAAAAATAGCGTGCTCATTGTCGTACTCCCAAGCACTCTGGTGGCAGAGTGTCGTACTCCCAGCACTCTGTTGGCAGAGTGTCGTACTCCCAGCACTCTGGTGGCAGAGTGTCGTACTCCCAGCACTCTGGTGGCAGAGTGTCGTACTCCCAGCACTCTGGTGGTTGAGTGTGTTGCGATTTTCACATTAGATTTCAAATCCACAGCAATCGAAAACACACATATTATAATAACAAATAATTCTAGCGGAATTTTCTTATATTTAAGACTTCCCAGATAGCCGGAATTAAATTATTTACTGATAAAGTAAACTGCTGCAGGTCAGCTTACCTTGTCGAAATCTTGGACTACAGTCAGATTGGGTGAGGCACTGGTCAGCAGTTTTTGCTTAAAGTCAATCGCAACTTCTGCTGTCCCCTGTTAGGATATGAAGTTAAGGTTGTTAGCCTTTTTTTGCTTTAAAGTTAATGAAATTAATAATCATTTAATTTTTTTTTGTAATACATACTTTTAATTATAAACCTTTTTTCCAGGATACCTTTCGAAACTAGAGCATGTTCCACATAAAAATGATACATATTGTATTAACACAAAAATATGCAAAAGAAAACAGCCAGACTCTGGAGTCCTTTAAAACCGATTTAAAAACATATCTATTTCGCAAACACCTTCTGGGTGATGCTATCTACCATCTTTTTCCAGTTAATGTATATTGGCTTGTGTTGCTTATGGTTGAAACGGGATGAAAGACTTTGACTTGGTATGCTCATATGTAGTTGTTGGTTTTTTTACTGTTGCGTCTGTTTTTAAATGTGGTAAATTTCAGATTGTTTTTATTTCTCTTTTTAATATGGTTGACTTTGTACCGCGCTTCGAGCTTTTGGGGATGAAGCGTGTTTTTCAAATAAACTTTATAAATATTATTATTACCTTCTGACAAGAGAAATGCAATAATTTTCTTTATTTTTAATTGATACAATAAGACGTAAAATTATTGTTAGAATGTACTAAAACGTTCCCAATTAAATCCTCCGTTATGTGTGCAATGTAATCAATCTATAGAATATATGCAATCGTAAACCTGCACTAAACATATGCAAATAATTCATTGTCATTTACGCAACACCTTTACAAAGCAAAAGTGCAATTATTACCTGTAAGTGTAGTAGATTACAATTTTTTTTTAATGTTCAATGAGACATAAATATAAATATTGCTTAGTCATACTTACATCTGTTTCTATGTTGTATGAAAAGAATTGAAACACATCGGGGGCGCAGACTTTGGTGGGGTCTGGTGCTCCCCAAACCAGGGGGAGCAATGCAAGTGCTATCACTGAAGAAAACATGACTGCTGAAAACTGTTGTGTGGCTCAACAAAATAGATGTGTGGGTGCTTGGTTGTGGATTCATGGTTGTGGGTGCTTGCTTTTATACTCATCACTGTTAGGGGATTCCCGGTCAAGGTCTTTTCTTATCTTGGGGAGCGAACTTTACAGCTAATTAAACGTCCAGTTGAACCAGGTCAAACTAATATGACTTAGAAAAAAAGGGTTTTTAAAAATTCGAAGGGGACAAACATCATAAGTTGAGCTCATGTTCAATTCTTTAGAGTAGAGAATCGACTTTGAAAAAACACATCACTTATTCATATTAAGTTTCTACCTCCACATTATGAATGCATTTAACCAGTGGTCATCCACATGTGGCGCTTTTAATGAATAAATGCGGCTATTTTTTTTACATACAAATTTTTAATGTTACTTAACCAATCCATCCCTGCCTGTGAGTCCTAAAACTTAACCAATCCAACCCTGCCTGTGAGTCCTAAAACTTAACCAATCCAACCCTGCCTGTGAGTCCTAAAACTTAACCAATCCATCCCTGCCTGTGAGTCCTAAAACTTAACAAATCCATCCCTGCCTGTGAGTCCTAAAACTTAACCAATCCATCCCTGCCTGTGGGTCCTAAAACTTAACCAATCCATCCCTGCCAGTGGGTCCTAAAACTTAACCAATCCATCCCTGCCAGTGGGTCCTAAAATATTATCTCAGCACTATCGATTTTTTTTTTTTTAATTTCTTTACTGAAACTTTTAGCCAACCCTTACTTTAAAACTAGATAAGATGGTGGTATTTTCTATGCTCTCAATTAATCAATGTTAAGTCGTTTTTAATTATTTTTTTTTTAAATTGTAAGACAATGTTCTATTTAAAGTTCCATTTATTATCTCTGATGTTAAACAATGGGGAAATAGCTACAAGAGTTACCTTTAAAGTTCCATTTCAATGCCAGCACATTCATGTTCTCTATGACCTTTAAGTGCTGTTCATACAAATATGTCCATGGATGTCTCCATCTGTTAATGTATACATACAGTGGCGGACCAGCATAAGAAATGGCTTGGGATTAACTTAAGATTTGACTCAGTAATAGCTGCGGAACTCAAATCTATCTTCGTGGTATTCTTTTAAAAGATGATTTGTCTGAGATTTAGTGTATTAATACTCAGTCATTTTTGCGGGAGGTTCGGGGTGCTCTTGCTCGATATGGCCCTGGCTAACTCGTCTGCAGCCATCTTCCTTATGTTTGACTGTGCCAAACAACTTTTTACTAACACATTGACTCCAGGCCACCCTTGCACCCCTGTCTCATTTGGATCTGCCACCTTTTCCAAACGCAGGTCCTGTCATTACCACTTACGTATGAACGAAAGAAATGGTCGAATTTGATTACTATTCCTCCGATGAGGGGCCCACTTCCAACAACTGTGCAACATATCTTCTTGATCACTCCTGGGAACACGTGCCGACTACACGGATGAGGATGACAAACGCACGCAAGCGTTCAACACTCCGGAGTTTCCCCTTCTGTAAATTTTGGGACACACTTTATATCAAAAGACACACTTTTTACATTATTTGTATCATCATCATCCAGATCAACCTTTGATCAAGTATGAAATATATTTGTATACATTTTGTCATCTTGAAAAGATGTTTCGCAAATAAGCTATCGCTCAAAATGCACATCCACAATACAGCCACATAAGACCACGTGTGTTTAATGCACTATAATGAAATGTACATCCACAATACAGCCACATAAGACCACGTGTGTTTAATGCACTATAATGAAATGTACACCCACAATACAGCCACATAAGACCACGTGTGTTTAATGCACTATAATGAAATGCACACCCACAATACAGCCACATAAGACCACGTGTGTTTAATGCACTATAATGAAATGCACACCCACAATACAGCCACATAAGACCACGTGTGTTTAATGCACTATAATGAAATGCACACCCACAATACAGCCACATAAGACCA